AGCGGCCTCCCCAGGTCAGACAGACACAACGGGAAGGTCTATTTTTGAACCCCTTTCCTCACATTGTGCCTCAACCCCAGGGGCCTGGTCTCACCCCAGGGGAATTTCCCAATCAGAATCAGCCACAAGAGTTGCTTCAGGGATGGCCACAACTGGCCAGGACACACTTAACTTGGGGCCCCAGGCCACATTCACCCCCACTGCAGCAGGGCTTCACCCTCCTGAGAACCAGGATTTGAACCTGGACTATTTTCAGTCCATGATAGCCCAGGCTGTGGCTCAATTTATGGCCTCCAATACCCCACAGCCACCCCCCCAATCCATGTACCATTCCCAATCTCCAGAGACTATGGATGATCCCTCATCAGATCTGGAATCAACAGGGGCTGAACCATCTGGCCTGATTATGTCAGAGGATGAGGGCATCACTCCATCTGACCCCACCCCTCCTGTCAGTCTCTTTGACCATTCATTCTTTAATTCCCTGCTACTCAAGGCCTGCACCACTGCAAACCTCCCTCAAGAGCAGAAGACCCCACCTACAACACCCAAGGGTCCCCACGCCATATACACTGAGCCCTCAGTCTCGCAGAACCATATTCCCTGCCCTCCCCTTTTTCTGAATATAGTTCAAAAACAATGGGAGAACTTAGGATCCCTCTCAGGTCCTAGTGCAGTAGAGAGAACATTATTCAATGTTGCCCCCTCTCTGGCCTCCCTACTGGAGACTCTGGAGATTGATGAGCCCTTGAACTCATTGTTTCCCAATGCTAACATCCCTGGGGGTATAAATGAGGCACTTAGGGCAGAAGATAAAAAGATTGAGTCAGCACTACGCAGGTCCCACCTGGCATCAGCCTGGGCAACAAAGGCGGCAACATCCATGGCCTTCTTTGCCAGGCCTTCGGTCCTATGGTTATGGGAGCTCCAGGATATGATCCCCCCCGGACCAGCTCAGAGCTCACCAGAATCTGGGTAAGCTAGTGGCCACGTCTCAGTACCTAGCCGACGCTTCCCTGCACACGGCCAGATACACAGCCCGGACCATCACGGCAGACATCTCAGCACGAAGGCTCCTTTGGCTCAGGAACTGGTGAGCAGACACCAAGGCCAAGTGGCGTCTGGCCTTTAAACCTTACACAGGTGGACATCTCTTTGGTAAGGCACTAGAGCCATACCTAACCGAAGGTAAGGACAAATGTAAAACTTTGGTTAACACAACAAAGAAAGGAGACAGGCATTCGGGGAACAGCATGTCACAGAGTAATTACAGAAGGCAGCCCTTTCGGCCAGCTCCATCCTGGGACTGGGCCCAGGCTTCTCGCTTCTCCTTTCTGAGACAGGAATGACAGCAAGATCGTTCAGCATACAGAGGCAGATCACATTTCCAGACCAAGCAGCCCTTTCGAGGCGCAGGGGGCTGTTCCTTTAAACGAGGCAAGTGATCTCGCAGTCTCACCTCCCATAGGAAGTCGGCTGGCCCTTTATTCCAGCACTTGGGCAGCCACCACTACAGATGCATGGGTGTTAGACACCATCACCCAAGGTCTGAGACTAGAATTTTGTTCCCAACCACCTGACAAATTCCGCTCTTGCCCTATTCCTACGAGCAGGACCAGAGCTGATCTTATGTCAGAAGCCATAGCTCATTTATTACAAATACAAGCAATTGAACCAGTACCACAAGACCAAGAAGGACGAGGGTTTTACTCAAACCTCTTCATCATTCCCAAGACTTCGGGGGGCTGGAGGGCAATTTTAGACTTAAAAAGTCTAAACCTTTACTTGAGATATAAGAAATTTAAGATGCAATCACTTCAATCAATCTTGGCTAGCATCAGCCAAGGTGACTTTCTTACCTCGATAGACCTGACTGAGGCATATTTGCACATTCCTATTTTTCCTGACCACCGCAAATTCCTCAGATTCAGTTATGCCCGATGCCACTACCAGTACAGAGCCCTACCATTTGACCTCTCATTTGCACCGAGAGTATTTACAAAGGTACTGGCAGTGCTCGCAGCCCACCTCAGACAAATTCCCATCAGAGTTCAATGCTATTTAGATGACATACTAATTCAGTCATCATCATTCCAAAATCCTCAGTCAGACCTCGCCCTAGCCATCAAGGTTTTTCAGGAGCACGGTTTTTCTGTTAATTTCCAGAAAAGTCATACCGTACCAACAACTCAGCTCCTCCATTTGGGCGCTGTTATAGACACAGACAATTGTACGGTCTACCTATCTCATGACCGACGGAACTCTATTCAGACCCTTGTACGTCGAATCCACAAGGACAGAGTAGTCACATTGGTATCCTTATCACAACTACTGGGGAAGATGGTGTCCTGCGTGCAAATTGTGCCATGGGCACACCTCCATGCCAGAGAATTACAGTGGCTTCTCCTTCCATTTCAGAGACTTCACACCAGCACATCCCACCAGAAGGTCCGAGTTCCACGGTCGGTGTTGAACTCCCTTCGATGGTGGGACTCTCCGGCACTGTCATGGGGAACAGAATTCAAAGAACCAGACAGGATCACCATCACCACAGACGCAAGCCTGTTTGGGTGGGAGGCACACCTCCACACACACTGGGCCCAAGGTCAGTGGTCCAGGCAGGATCTAAAGAACAATATAAACTGGCTGGAACTCAGAGCCATACACATGACCCTAAAGAGATTCAGCAGCTTAGTACAGGGCCAGCATGTCCTGATTTTAACCGACAACATCACAGCCAAGGCCCATGTCAACAGACAGGGGGGAACAAGGTCCAAGCCTCTCATGCAGGAGGCCAAATTGCTGGGCTCTTGGGCAGAACTGAATCTTGCCTCCATCAGGGCGGAGCACATTTCCGGAGTGGCCAACCAGCAGGCGGACTCACTGAGCAGAGCCACCATGGACCATACCGAATGGCAGCTGGACCCGAAGGTCTTCAGAGAGATTGTGGACAGGTTTGGTTCCCCAACCTTAGACCTTTTTGCCTCCCCAGCCAACTCACAGTTTCCCAGATTCCTTTCCAGGTTTCCGTCTCCATCAGCGGAAGGAACAGATGGACTCCGCAGTCCCTGGCCCAGGGAACTGCTCTATGCCTTTCCTCCCCTACCGCTTCTACCTGCCACGATCAGGAAGATTCTTCGCGAACGAGCAGAGGTACTCCTGGTTGCGCCGCATTGGCCGAGACGACCATGGTTCGCCGACCTGATGGAGCTCTCCGCATCCCCTCCATGGAGGATTCCAGCCAACCGGATCTCCCTCATTCAGGGGGAGCTACACCATCCGGACCCTCAATGGTTCCAGTTAACTGTCTGGCACTTGAGAGGCAGGCATTAGGCCGAGACTCATATTCGTCAAGGGTCATAGCCATGATCCAGCAATCCAGGCGACCCTCGACGAATAGAATATACGATGCCACGTGGAAAAGTTTCTGTAATTGGTGTTTAGCTCACAAAATTGACCTATTGGCGGTTTTAGTGCCAGTCATCTTGGAGTTTCTGATGGATGGTCTGGACAAAGGGCTTTCCACAAGCACCATCTGTAGGCAGGTAGCAGCACTTGCCACAATTATTTCCTGCGGCAATGAATCCTTAACGCAGCACCCTATGATATGCTCCTTCCTAAAAGGAGCTAACAACGCCAGACCACCAACTGTACATAGATACCCCTCCTGGGACCTTCATCAGGTTTTACAGGCTCTTGTTTTGCCCCCCTTTGAACCTATTGACACTTGTTTGTTCAAACAGTTATCAATGAAGGTGGCATTTCTAGTTGCTGTAACATCAGCCAGAAGGATCTCTGAGCTGGCTGCTCTTTCAGTGAGGAAGGACCTGTGTATCTTCCATAAGGACAGGGTAACCCTCAGGTTAGACCCCTCCTTCGTGCCCAAGGTTAATTCCTTGTATCATAGATCTCAGGAGATAGTTTTGCCGGCCTTCTGACCTAACCCATCTAATGACATAGAGGTTCAGTGGAACAAATTGGATGTGTGCAGGGCCTTATATTATTATATACAGAGAACCTCATCCTTCCGCAAAACAGAGGCTCTGTTTGTGTCCTTTCACCCTTCGTCACTAGGACAAAAGGTTTCTTCATCCACAATAAGCAGGTGGATTAGAGCTTGTATTTCTCTGGCATACCAGACTCAGTCACTGCAAGCTCCTAGGCATATCACAGCCCATTCCACCCGGGGCGCAGCTACTACAGCTGCCTGGTCTACCCAGGCCTCCATAGAGGAAGTTTGTAGAGCAGCAAAATGGGCATCACCCTCTTCTTTTGTCCGTCACTACAAGATGGATATATTTGCCTCTTCTACGGCTTCATTTTGCCGCAAGGTTCTAGAGCATGCATTAACGTTGGATGGGACCCAGGCCCAATCTAATTCCCCACCCTAGGGACACTGGGCTTTGGTATGTCCCATCCGTGGGTTCTCCATCCAATCATGCTGGAGAAAGGGGCGTTGTCTTACCTGAACGCCTTTTCTCAGCATGATGATGGAGAATCCACTCCCTCCCATTAGGTCAGTTGGCCTGGTTCTCATATTGTTCAGACGCGTCGGACTAAAGTCTGAGTATCGCCTTAGCCTAAAACTGGGGTGCAATTGGCACAGAGGGGGCGGTACTAAATTTCAGACTTAGTCTAATTGGAGCAGATAGATTAAGACAACCCATCTGTGGATTCTCCATCATCATGCTGAGAAAAGGCGTTCAGGTAAGACAACGCCCCTTTCTGTTGTCATTCTGATATATTGTTATACAATATGATAACTAGTACTGGAGCATTCAGAAGTAGCTATAGAGTTGTTAATTGGCAATTATGTTAATAAGCACACAGAAATCAGTTTTACTGTAAAATTGGATTGCTAATTATGTTAAAAAGTACTCAAAATAAATTTTATTTTGGTTTTGTAATTATATTAATCACATGGAAGTCATCTTTATTTTAATGTACAAAATTCTTGAGGGAAACAGGACAGATATTAATAAACATTCAGACAAGGATTTTTTTTCAACTGTAGATAGCTGTTTCATTTCATGAGGAGAGGGATTTAACACTTTACTCAGACAATATATTTAAATGTAATATGAATCAGAATCCAGTTTGGAGAGATGTCTATGTAAATAGTAAATAATCCCTTCTTGTACAATGTGTGTGTGTGTGTATTTGTGTGTCTGTGTTTGTATATATATATGTGTGTGGGGGATGTGTGACAAAAAGAAGGAAAAGTTTTTCTCATTTGCCCCAGCAGCTATTTGGCAATAACAATAACAACAACAACAACAACAATAATATTTTAAACTAATATATACAAACATTATTTCTAAACAGGTACTTAAAGGTAACAGTTTCCCTGTTCAGTTGTGTCCAACTCTAGGGCATGGTGCTCATCTCACTTTTTAGCCCACATACACACACACAAACACACACACACACACACACACACACATACATTGTATAAGGGGGATTATCTACCCTCAAGATTTCCAAGTAAAAGATATTGTTATATTTATTTGTTAGATTTACTTTGCCTTTCTTCCAGAAGAGGAATCACTATACATAGGACATTCTCAATTTTTCAACATTTCCACAATTCTGTAGGAGTTGTAAGATGGGTCCACTATTTGCAGTAATAATCTAAGGATGAAAATGTATCTGAAAAGTTTTTTTCTACTCCTAGGCAGTCCATCAGTATATGAAGTAACAGAACTGGAAAGAGGTAAGAAGGATAAATGTGATGTTAATTCTTTAGTATAGATGGATAGAAAGTGACAAGAATGTGCTTTAATACTGTATATACCCATCCTATATCTATTTCTCCCATGGTTTGATCCTCTGTTCATTCTGCCCATGCTTTATCTTCTTTTAGTTTTCTATTCTTACCCTATATCAAAATGCCACTTCCAACTTTTATCTAACTACATCTTCCTCCTCTGCTTCCTTACAGTTATACCATGCAGTTTTGTCTTAAATGAAATATGGATAATCAAACCACAGTGCTGTATTTTCTGCTCCTGAAGTTCTCAGCAACTTGGCAACTACAGCTGCTATGTTTCTTCTTGTTCTTTGTGTTGTATCTGGCAATTACAATAGCAAATCTACTCATCATCTTTGCAATAGCCTTTGAACAGGAACTGCATAGACCTATGTACTTTTTTCTGATGAATTTAGCACTACAGGATATAGGCTCTGTTTCTGTTATTGTTCCCAAATCTATGGTGAATTCCCTTATAGATACCAGATACATTTCTTACTTTGGTTGTGTTGCTCAAGTCTTTCTCTTTGTCTCTTTTCTGGGTTCTAATGCATCCCTCCTGACAGTCATGGCCTATGATAGGTATGTTGCCATTTGCCATCCACTGCACTATGAGATGGTGATGAATTGGAAAGCCTGCACTGAAATAATGATTCTGGTTTGGGTTGCCAGTCTTCTCTATGGAACTTTACATGCCACTGGAACTTTTTCAGTCTTTTTTTGTTCTAATGTCGTCAATCAATTCTTCTGTGAAATTCCAAAATTGTTAAAACTATCCTGCTCTGGTTTCAATCTAGTTGAAGTTGGAGTTATTGTGGCCAGTGTCATTGCAGGACTAGGCTGTTGTACTTTTATAATTGTATCTTATGCCATGATCTTCAAGACTGTGCAAAGAATTCCTTCTGAACAAGGAAGGCAAAAAGCCTTATCCACTTGTATTCCCCACCTTATAATAGTGTTTATGTTTTTCTTAAATGGATGTTTTGCGTATTTGATACCTCTATCTAACACTCCATCTTATTTAGATTTTTGTTTGACTGTTCTGTATTCACTACTTCCACCCCTGTTCAATCCAATCATTTATAGCATGAGAAATAAGAACATCCAATTTGTTCTTTCAAAACTGTGGAAAGTCTGAAAGTTTCTTTTATTGTTGTCTCTATTCTATTCACCACAATTTTGCATTTTCCTGTCTTTTCTTTTACTTCTCTGAATAAAAGCATAAGTTATACAGGGAGACATAGGTGGGATGAAGGCAAATCCAATCCCAAACCAAAAGTATGATAGACACTAAACATTTCTCAGTGAATATCCTGCATCTCTAATCACCCTCAATGCACTTTACAGATGCTATAAATGGATGTCTGATAGCCTATTTTTTCAGAAATGGATTGCCATTGCCTTCTTCCTAGAGTTTAGAGAGAGTGATTGGTCAGCTAGCTAGCTTTGTGCCTAAAGTGATAGAAGAGCTCACAAACTCCTAGTTTCTATCCTGATGTCTTAATCATTGCACCAAATAGGTTCTCACATACTTTAGCTCAAGAGTAACAATTTCTTTAGAAGTACTTTGGAAGACCAAACACCTGGCAGGTTGGGTGAGCTGGTACTATCTAACATAATGTTTTGATAATCACAATAAATAAAAAAATCAAAAAGTATAATGAGGATGAGTCATGTAGAATAGAATCTTATATTAGCTCTCAGAAACTTGATAAAAACTGGAAGAGATAACAAAAGCTCCCTTGCCCAACACCTTGAGAAGGAAAGATAGATGGGCATACCCAGAATTATACATTATTGAAATGTGACTGAGACATATTGAGTTTCACACAACACTGATAACATATACCAAAAGACATATCCAGATTTTGTGTTATCCCTGTCACCATCTTCCCACTCCTTTTGTAAAAATATGCAAGACAGAAGATTCATTTATGCATGCCACTGCCTGACAACTCTTGATCTTTAGTAAAGTGAGGATCAAGTTGTAATGTGATTATCAAAAACTAATGCAATAGAAAAGAGTTTTAAATGGTGTGGCCTATTTTTCTCACTACTTTCCTGTAGAAAATGGGCTTCCCCTCTAATGCTTGCACATATTATGGCTAGTTAAAGCTTTAGCTTTTCCAAAATCCCACAGGTTGCAATACCTCTTCTGCAGTGGTGGGATTTAGCCAGTTCGTACCATTTCGGCAGAACTGGTAGCTAATTTTTTGTTGCCCAGGCCCAGAATGGACTTCCAGAAGTGGCATCCACACAGAGAACTGGTTGTTCACATATTTGAATCCCACCACTGCTCTTCTGTCCTTAAATGATAATTTGTTCACATACTTTGGTATTTTGTGCCTTTGAGTCAGCCTTAACTCCTGGTGGCTTACTGGAAAAGTCTCTGCTCTTTTCTTGGCAAGGTTTTTTCAAAGGGATTTGCCATTGCCCCCTTCAAGGGCTGAGTGAATGAGTGACTGGTCTAAAGTCACACAGGTTGTTTCATTCCTAAGGTGCATTGGAATGCACGTCAGCCATATGCACTACACCAAACAAGTTCTCATATGCTTTACCTTAAGGATAGCATTTCTTTCCTTTAGAAGTGCTTTGGCAAGACTAGGCATTACCCAGGGCAAGATGGTAAGCTGATACTATGTCACACAAGATTTTAATGAGTATAAGAAATTTAAATGGCAAGAAGTTTAATTAGGATGGGGCATAATTGTAATAGGAGATCATCTAAGTTTTTAAAACTCTTACAACTAGATAGAAATTGATCTAACATCTGGAGAAGGAGGATAGATAATTATGCAACAGTTTATCTTATTGAAATGTGCTTGAGAATTATTGAGTTTCATTCAAACTACTGATAAAATATGCCAAAAGCCATATCCAGGTTTTTCTCTTGCCTATGCCTCTATCCTTCCAATACTTTTTAAAATGCATACAAGATGGAAAATTTCTCAAATGTTTTGAGGCTCAGTATAAGTGTGCTTAGTAAAGCTGCCAAAGCTTATTGGAATCACTTTAGCAACATCAGTATTTTCAATTTTGCCCTCTATTAAAATTTACTTTTTTTCTTGCCTTATCTTTGGATATTTCTTGTCTATATTATACTTTGAAATTGAAGATGTTGTTTTCATCTGTTTTCTCAATAAACTCTTTCAACTTTTAGCTTATTGTGTATTGCATATTGCTTTCTAAAAATCCTGCACTGAAATTGTGATTTTAATTCGGGGATACTAGACTTCCCTATGGAAAGATGCTTACCAGAAGCACCTTCTAATCCTCTTCTGTTCTCACACTGTTAACCAGATTTTTTTGTGAAATTCCACAGTTGTAAAATCATTGCAAGTGTTCTTTGCTTGAATAAAAGATACTGAAATATTAAAAATGCAGAAATTATTTCTTGGTCTTTTACCTAATGGGTTATAATGGGTTTCTCTGGGGAAGTGGCAGTGGTGAGATTCAAATATGTGAACAACCAGTTGTCTGTATGGATGCTGCTTCTGGAAGTCCATTCTGGGCCTGGACAACAAAAACTAGCTACCGGTTCTGCCAAACTGGTGCGAACTGGTTGAATCCCACCACTGAGAAATGGCATAGGCCTTGGGGGGTATATTATATTCTGCAATAATCTTGTGGATAGATCATGTATTGCATAAAATAAAGTCTATTCCTAAATAAAAATGAAAATATCTATACTTAGTCTCTAAAATATGTATTTATATAACTTTCCTTCTAAACCTTATTTTGCTTTTCTTCTACTTCTGTGTCTTTTTAAAGGAACGCTATGGATTTACCGTATTACGTATTATATAATAGGAATTCTATAGATCTCTGTGAGTTTACATTCTATCTTTTTCTTTGGGTCCTGTTTTAGGTATGTATTTGAAATCTTCTCAGGCAGCCCAATACAGAGGGTAGGGCTTGGTATACAACAATGAAATATCATTTGGTTTGTTTGCACTCCCATCACAAAAGCCATTGGTTTCAATGGTTTCATTATGTACCTTATTCTATTAGTGGGTTTCTTGAACTTGTTTTCTGCCTTTTACCTTTCTTTTGCAGAAAAGCTTAAATTATCTACCCCTGTATTAATAGTGTGGCCTTAAGTAGCCCATTTGGAGCTCTTTCCCCAGTTGTGGCAGGTAGAATTTTTTAAAAGCTAGAAGTGAAAGAGAATCTCAAGTGATGCAACATGTTTCAGAGAGGTCTTCTCGCTTCATTTATGTTTCACCTCTCTCAATTTGCACTGCTGGTATGACTCCAGCCCCAATTCTATTAACACAATTCTGAGATATTATTATATGTTATTAATTGGTACTGCAATATTTAGAGAAAATGATACATTTGATAATTGCCAATTTATGTTAATAAAGTCAGTTTTACTTTGGTTTCATAACTTTGTTAATAAGCACATAGGAGTACCGGTAAGTTTTGTTTTGTTTTGCTAATTATGTTATTAAGCCCAAAGAAGCCAGTTTTATTTTGGTGTGGAAGACACTTTAGGGAAACAAAATAAATATTAGTAACATTCAGAATAGGAAAATTTTTCACTTTAGATAGATGTTTCACTACATGAAAATTGGTGGGACAACATTTACTTAATGTTAAGACATTTAATACTCTTAAATCATAGAAGTCGTAATTTATAAAGTCTAATGATTCTAGATTGAAAGTTTAACAGAAAAAAATATTTCTGTCTTTTCTGGAGCAAAGTGGTATTTATGTAAATATGTCTTATATGTCTCAGGGCTGGCTTTATAATTTTTCTACTGGAAGAGAATTTAAGCAAATAATTGCATAAGATAGTTTTCTGATTAACTAGAATAAGAAGTGAGTCTATTTTGAGGAGGAGAACAAAATGATTTTTTTAAAGATAATATTTCAGAAATTGGATCCTACACATTAGTTAAAGATTTTTTAAAAGAGAATATACTTTGGAGAGATTTCAATATAGACAGAAAACAATGAATTAATTACATGTTTAACATGTTGGTAGCTTTTCCACATAATTATAAAAATAAAGACAGTTATAATTTTCAGAAATTTGAACAAAACTTTCATGCATGAACTGATTACTAATAGGTAAATTATATCAGCAAAATCATTTCATAATTTGTTTGGTTATGAGTAAAAGAAATGGATGTTAAGTTTTCTAAAACTCTTTTTATTTCTTATTTTTAAACATTTAAGTAGTATACTTGAAAATGTATTTACATACGCTGGTTTTTCTTGATGCCCAGAAGGCATTTGATAATTTGAATTGGAATTTTATTATAACACAATTGTACTATATGGATTTTGGGATAAAAGATGGTTGAGAAAATATATACTAAACAAACAGCTAGGGTAATTATAAATGAGGAAATGACAGAAACAATTGATATAACCAAAGGAGTAAGACAAGGATGCCCACTTTCTCCTCTTCTATTTATTTTATCATTAGAAATACTTCTGACAAAAATCAGAGAGGACCAAGAAATAAAGGGTTTAAAAATTAAAAAGGAAGAATATAAGGTCCAGGCCTTTGCTGATGACTTAGTATTTATTTTGGAAGATCCATTAGAAACCGGCTTTAAATTGATTCAAAAAATAGAAGGATTTGGCGAGGTAGCCGGACTTAAGATTAATAGGAATAAATCCAAATTAATAAAAAAAAATCTTACAAAGGCACAAGAAAGGGAATTGGAAGATAAAACAAAGATAAGTATAACCAAGAAAATAAAATACTTAGGGATCTGGCTTACAGCAAAATGCTCCTCGATTAAGGAGGACAATTATGATAAAATACTACACCAGATAAAAAAAGATTTAGAAAATTGGGAAAATTTGCAAATTTCATTTTTAGGGAGGACCACTACGGTCAAAATGAATGTATTGCCAAAAATATTATTTCTGTTCCAGGTTATTCCAACAAAATTAGGGAAAACATTCTTTCAAGAATTAAATAAATTGATCACTAAATTTATATGGCAAAGGAAAAAACCCAGGATTAAATTAAAACTTTTGCAAGACACGAAAGATAAAGGGGGATTGGCGTTACCAGAGTGGAAAATATACCATCAAGCATCAAGTTTAACTTGGCTAAAAGATTGGATGGATTTGAAAAATACTAGAGTCTTAACAATAGAAGGACATGATTTGCAAGCAGGGTGGCATGCATTCCTATGGGACAAAAAACATAAAATACACAGATATTTTCAAAGACACATAGTTAGGAATGCATTGCTACAGACTTGGGAAAAAATAAAACAAAAACATTATACAAGAATTCCAACGTGGTTATCCCCAACAGAAGCTCTGAAATACCCAAACCTATTGGATATAAATAAGATAATTAGATACAAGGAATTAGTAAATGAACAGGGAAATTTGAAAACAAAACAAGAATTGGAACAAGACATTGGCAGAGAGATTGATTGGTGGACATTTACACAAATTCAATCTAAATATACAGAGGACAAAAAATTATATGAAATCCAAAAAGAGCTGCAAGAATTGGATAAAATTATACTTGGAACAGAAATAAAATTAATTAGCAATTTATACAAATACATATTGAGATATAAAATGGAAGACGAGGTTGTCAAAGACACAATGATTAGATGGGCAAAAAATTTCGGATATAATATAGAATTGGAGAAATAGGAAAAAATATGGGAAATAAATATAAAATTGACTATGTCGGCGGCATTCAAGGAAAACCAGTTGAAAATGTTTTACAGATGGCATCTTCCACCTGCAAAGCTTGCCAAGATGTTCCAGAATAATTTGCCAAGATGTTGGAAATGTAAAAAGGTACATGGAACATATTATCATCTATGGTGGACATGCCCAGTTGCAAAAAAATACTGGTCTACAATAAGAAAATGGATCCAAGAAATAATAGACCAGCCTGTAGACTGGAAACCAGAGATTTTTTTGTTCGGTATTTTAAATAGAAAATATAGTAAAGAAATATGGTACTTAATTTTACATATAATAACGCCGGCAAGAATAGCATATTCACAGTGCTGGAAAAATGAGAATATACCATCAGAGGAAGAAGTAATAAGAAAAATCCTGGACTGTGCTGAGATGGACAAATTAACAAAAGAGATAAAAGAAAAGAAAGACACAGAGTATTATATAGTATGGAACAAGGTGTATGTCTGGTTGGAGACTAGAAATAATAGAGGAGAATAAATATGGAAAGGTCAAAAATGAAAATATGTGTACAATAATGTATAATAATAATATGAATTATTCTTAGTAAGAAATAGAACATGAAGGAAGAAAAATGTAAATAAGAAATAATGGGGCTATAAGGACAAATATTTAAAGAAGAATAAGGGGGAAATGTAAATATTAGATTACCGTTACGTAATTGCTGTAAAAAAAAAGGAGGAGCATATATTGTGTGTGTATGTGTGTTATGTTTTGCTTTGTTTTGTTTTGTCTTGTTGGTTAAAAATAAAAATTAAAAAAAAAGAAAAAAAAGAAAATGTATTTACATAACTTTGCAGTGTTGAAAAAAATGTTCATAGTTTTAATATGTTGTGTCTCATTTTCTGTCCAAATACTATATGCAATATTGGTTTCTATTTGATAGAAAACTGCTTTTTTTAAAGTAAGATTTCACTTTCCTTCTGATTGATTGACAAGGGGATTTGTTAATTTATAATGTTAAAAATGGAATAATTGTGTATAATACCACAAAGTAAATAACAAAATAAGAGGTATGTTGTAAATAAAGTTCTAGTTTTCTTCATTTAATAATGTATCATTGAATACCTGTTTAGGAATCTAGTATTTATGTATTAGTTAGTCTTTTAATGCTATTTTTAGCCTAACAGTTGCTGGGGAAATTGAGAAAAAATAATATACATAAGATATTCTCCAATTTTTAAAAAATATCACAATAGTGTAGGTGTGTTGAGACATTATAATGGGTCTAATTATTCCCAGTAATCTTTTATTGATGAAAATGAATGTGAACAGAATTTTTCCACTCCTAAGCAATGCTTTTGATCAGTATTTGGACTGAAAAGAGAAAAGAAAGAAGAATGTAAGGTTGGTCTTTTAGAGATTTTTTTTTGTAGATGGTTGTTACTTATCCACAAACCTCCTATTCATATCTTGTGTGGCAAAAAGGATTGAGCCTGTTGTGTCCTGAGCCTGCAAAGGCAGGCTCGGGACATTGCAACGGTCCCGGGCAGTTGCAAGCTGCCCGGGACCAGACTGGCTGGCGCTGGCGCTCGCGCACATGCGCGAGGTGCACAGCGCATCTAAATGTTGCCTTTTGGCCTGGGGATTGTTTTTAAGAGAGGCTGAGAGGCTTGCGTGCCTCAGAGTTGTAACGGGGCTACAGAAGAGGCTCCTGAAACTACAAGATGCTTCATGACTTATTGCCATTAGCTGAGGACTCAACAGAGCCCATATTTCTTTAAGAGTCTTTCTAATTCCAGTTCCATCCGGAGATGTCCATCTGAGCCTTTGGTTTGCTGAAAGACGTCAGTATTTTATCAAAAATAAAGATAAAGTAAATATTAGATTTCCGTAGATCTGCAAATATTTATGAACATTTTCACCATTCCTTCACTAGATTGTTTAAGTCTTGAAAGAGCTAACAGAAAAAACTATCCCACTAAATTATGATGTTGGTTTCCTAATTTTGTTAATAGACATACAGAAGTAAGTTTTCTTTTGCTTTGTTAATTATCTTAATAGAACCAGAGAAGTCAGTTTTATTTTGGTGTCGAAGATTCTTGAAGAAAACAAAACGTATTAGTAATATTTGGAATAGAAAAGTCTTTGCATATGGATGTTTCACTACAGAAAAATTAGTGGAACAGTATTTACTTAGTGCTAAAATATTTAATACTATCAAAAGGATAGAAGACGTAATATATAAAGGCAAATTATAGGTTTTTATAAAATAAACTGGGCAACCATTGGACTGAACAGACATTTGGACTAGAAGACCTCTGAGATCCCATGCAGTTCTATAATTCTATATATTCTAATAAAAGATAAATTATTCATTTATTTGGACAATAGTAGATGGTATATTGGATTATGTACTAGGAAACAAGTCTCCTAATGCCCCCAAAATGATTGTGCTTGTCCTATGATTGACCACTTTTGTCTATATCTATAGCTGAAGAGAGTCTTCTAAGATCTAGACAAAAAGTTTGGAAAGAGCAAAAATGTAAGAAGCCTAAATTTTATCTGATTTTATCTCTCACCTTTCTTTTTACAGATATTAAAATGAAACATGAATAATCACAGGCCTTACTTTCTACTTGTTGGATTTTTAAAATCTTGACAACTCTATTTTTGCACTTCTTCCTGTTTGTCTTATACCCAGCTGTTGGAACAGTGAATCATCTCATTGTTTCTGTAGTAACTTTGGATGATTGTTTGAACAACTCTGTGCATTTCTTTCTCATGAATTTGGGTGTACAGTCCTGTTCCTGTCATAGTCCCCAAAGCTATGGCAAATTTTCATATAGGCTTGTGACATATTTCTTATTTTGTCTGTGCTGCTGAAGTTTTTTACAATTTATCTCTTTCATAGCTCCTGCCAGGGTAGTAATGTGCCCAGGAAGCTGGTTCTTTTGGATCCAGGGACAATAAGCACACCCATGAATAAAGAGATTAATTCAAGGAACAATTTAAAGCTCTAACATTTTATATACACACATACACAGTACATATACACACAGGTTTCTGTGAACTTACATAATATCTTTTTCTATGAATCCAATTTTACATATGCAATGTCCTCTGGCAGTAAAATGTAAAGGGATGTGGCTTGGGATGTGATTTGGAATACAATAATGAACGATCATCTGGCTTGTCACAGATGCCATTGGTATACATATATACATATACTATATATACACATACACACACGCACATACACAAACACACCAAGCATATCCAAAGTCTTTTAAAACTGTCAGAATCTTTTTAATAATGACAGCATTAATGCCCCAATTAATTGAAAATCCTGCATTGAAATTGTGATTCTAGTTCCAGGTCACTAGGCTTCTCAATGGAGAGTGCTTATTAGCAGCCCCTTCTGTTCTGTTGCTTGTTCTAACATTGTTAACCATTTTTTTTGTGTGTGAAATTCTACAGATGTGTTCTTATTTTATTATTGTTGAAAATGTTCTTTTCTTGAGTAAAATATACTACAATATGAAAAATGTTAAAATCTGTTTCTTGGTGTTTTGCCATATGGATTTTAATGGGTTCTTCTAAGGAAGGGTTATAGGACACAGGAAAAAATATTATGTTTTCCAATAATCCTGTTGCATGGATTGTGTACTACACAAAATAAAGATTATTTCCAAGAAAAAATGAGGATATCTACACTTCTCTAAAATATACATTTGTGTAACTTTCTAAATCTTATTTGCTGCTTATCTTCTGTGTTTGTTTTTATCAATTGCTATTGATATATAGTATTACTTATTATATAATAGGTATTCCATAGGTTTTGGTGGGCTTACATTATATCTTTTTCTGGGAATCCTGTTTGAGATATGTATCTGCAATCTCCTCAGGCAGTAAAATACACAGGGGTATGGCTTGGAATATAACAATGAACTATCATCTGACTCGTTCGCATTCCCACCAGAAATGCCATGGATTTCTATGATTTTAGTGTATACCTTATTCTACTGGCCTTCCACTAGGTTTCTCTTTCTTCAACTTCTATTCTGCTTTTCACTTTTGCTTTTACAGAAAGGCTTAAATCTTCCACCCCTGTGTTATAACTGATGTCAAGGTTCTGACTAATGAAACACTTCAAAGAACTTCCAGGCATTGTTTATCCTAAAAAGTCTTTTCATTCATGTGACAAAATGTTGGCACGGCATGAAGAAGGGATGCTGAGATCTGAAATCTCCACCCCCGAGCAGTTGTTTTTGCTAGCATTTTCCTTCCCTAATTTTGCTGTCATGATTTACGTTCTCCAATTAGTTTGAAGGGCAAAGATTCTCTTTCATTTGCAACTCATACTTTCTTCCTTCTCCCCTCCCAGCATCTTCTGAGTTAACTCTAAAAACACCACACAGTTCTGCATATTTTGTCAGAGCAAGAACATCCAATGTTAGCAGCTTTGACATCTAATCCAGTTTGACCTCTTACCCCAGTTGTGGCAGGTAGAAGAGAGCAAGGCTTTTTAATCAAATGGGTACCATCTGTGGTACATTGGCACCTGGCAGGTGGTATGCAACCACCATAGAAAAGTGGTAGCGAGGGAGGGGAGTGAGCTGAACTGGTGGCAGCATTGCACAAGCCTGAGCAAGAGATGGCTGGAGCTGCAGGGCTGTGAGGGCACAGTGGAAGTGCCAGGATCAGTGCTTCTTTGGGGCTGTCAGGGCTCAGTGGAAGCACCAGGATCAGTGCCAGGCTCCAACTGGAGCTCGGCACTGATCCTGGAGCTTCTGTTGAGCCCAGAAGAAGTGCTGATCAGCTGGAATGTTGCAGCATCTCCAGGGTCTTGTGATTTACATTCATTTACATTCTTGGCAACTGATTCATATTTATGATGGTCACAGTGTCCCAGGGTCATGTGATGTGACCAAAACCTGCTGCAACCACCCAGCAGACGGGACAAATAAAAACCAAACACCCCCACCCACCCCCGCTGCCAATCCTCAACAGAAATGTTCACAACAATGAAAACCTCAGACAGGAGGAAGAGCACCACCGGGTGGGCAGGCAGTTGTCTTTCTCGGCTGTGGCTTGGGGGTACTTTTTTCAGTGCCATTGTAACTTTGAACTAAACGAACTGTTATAAGTTGAGGACTACCTGTACTTCATCCCTTTTTTCCTTTGGGGGGGGGGTCATCAAGTTTTTGACACCTTGCTAGGCAACTGGTGGTACTTGTATATTGCCATATCCTAAAAGTGGTAAATGGGTGAAAAGGTTGAAAAGCCCTGGAATAGAGGATGGAATTTCTTAAAAGCTAGTTTTAAAAGAGAATATTAAGTGGTGAAATATGGTTCAGGAAGGTGGTTCTCACTTGATTTATGTTTCATCTCTCACAGTTTGCACTGCTGGTATGATTACACTCCCAATTTTCTTTAGAATATTGTGAGACATTATTATTCTATGTGATAACTGGTCCTGTAGCTATAAAGTTATTAATGGCCAATTATGTTAACAAGCAAGAGAAGTCAGTTTATGTTGTATTGAAAGAAAAATCTTCATCAGGGTCCAGTCCAAGCTGGGAATAAACAAAATGGAGACTGCTTTAGAAAGAAGATTGCAGTTTATTGAAGAGGAGAGCTAGATGGAAAGACTAATCACATGTAGTAGGGAGTGGGTTTTTATACCTTCTTGGGCTTTTGTTTGGAGTTGTTCCTGTGACATAAACTTTGACCTGAGTCTGAGTGTGCCTTTCTAGTATTCTGATGGTGGTGGGCTAATCCTATTATGTCCCAAAGGTCATATCCTGCTTCCATGGAGCTGTGGCTGATGACTATTGGATTTTTTTTTTGTGTGTGAGGGGTTGCTGATTCTAGGGATCTTTGTCTTTCTAATCCCAGCTTCCTGACTCCAATCTTTCTGACAAGATTATCACATCTGCATGTCTGCAGACCTGGTTTCTGTTTGGGGCAGAGAGACTTGGGAGAGGGTTTCTGCCTTTAAAATCCTTTGGAGAAATATATCTTGCCTTTTTAATATTTCCCAAAATATTTATTTTTCTGGATTCTTCCCACAGTTGGTCTCCTAAATATGTTAATAAGCTGACAGACGTAAGTTTTGTTTTGTTTTGCTAATTATATTAATGAACCCACATTAAGCAGTGTTATTTTAGTGTAGAAGATTCCTGAGAGAAACAAAACAGATATTAGTCAATTCAGAATAGGAAGCTCTTGAAGGACAGACAGCTATTCCACTTCATGAAAATTAGTGGGACAGTATTTACTTCGTAAAATATTTAACATTCTTAAAAGCATATAACAGAAGACAAGATCCATGGAGAAAAATAGTCAGTTATAAATTGAAAATTCAACAGAAAAGGTATTTCCCTTTTTTCTGTAGCAGATTTAATGTTTATTCAAATAATGTGTTATATCTCAAAGTTGTTTTGCTAGAAGAGAATTTTGGCAAATAATTGCGTAATATAATCTTCTGATTTAATGAAATAAAGTTAGGCTATTTTGGGGAAGAGGACAAAGGGGAATCTTTTTTAGATAATTTTTTAGAAATTTGATTTCAGACAATAGATTTAAATTTATTTTGAAAGAATATATTTTGGAGATATATATTTTGTAAATAGTAAACAATGAATTAATTACATATCTAACATGTTGGTGCATTTTTTACATGATAATTATAAAGAATAGAAGACAGTTAGAAGTTGCAGAAATTTGGACCAAGCCTTCATGCATGATCTGATTTCTCTGGGTACAAATAATGGTAAGGATTTATAAATCTCTTTTTATTTCTCAATTGTATATGTTTAAGTAATATACCTGGAAATGTGCTTACATAGCATCCCATATTGTTGAAAAAAAAAAACAACAACGCTGGGAAGAGTCAGAATTCATACTTGTAATAGGTTGTGCCTCATTTTCTGTCCAAAAGGTATGGTTTTTACTGGATAGGAGACTGCATTTTCAAATTAAGGTATCACTTTCCTTTTTATTGTTTGACAAGGGGATTTATTAATTTATTCTGCTAAAGTTTTATTTCTTTTGATTAAATATATTTTACAGTGAGATAATTGGGTATAATACCATGAAATGAATATAAAAATAGCAGTTAGGTTATAAGTAAAATCCTATCTTTATTTAACAACATATCATTAAATACATATTTGAGAATCTAGTATTTATGTATTAATATACAGGCTTTTATACTATTTTTTTTAGCCTAACAGCTGATGGGGAAATGGAGAAAAAATCTCTCTCTCTTTCTCTCTCTCTCTTTCTCTCTCTCTCTCTGTGTGTGTGTGTGTGTGTGTGTGTGTGTGTGTTGTGTCTGTCTTGCTAACACACACACACACACACACACACACACGCACACACACACACACACACACACAATTTTGGCTCTCGATATTTCCCTGTAAAAAAAAAATAGCAAATTACAGTATGTGGTTGGTTCTTTAGTACAGACAGATAAAAATTGACAAGTGTGCTCTAATATCCCCATACTTCATCTATGTTTACCATGTTGTGATCATCTATTCATTCTTTTCATGCTTTATGTTTCTTTATGTTTTCTATTCTTATTACATATCAAAATACTACTTCCAAAAATTTATTTAATTTTATCTCCCTCCTCTGTTTCCTTGCAGTTATCCCAGCTTTGACAAAAATGAACATGGAGAATCAAACTACGCCTTATTTTCTGCTCCTGGAATTATCAAAAAATCGGCATCTGCAGCTTTTGTTTTTCTTCTTCTTCTTTGTGTTATATATGGCAACTGTAACAACAAATCTTCTCATCATCTCTGCAATAGCTTTTCATCATCGACTGCACAGCCCCATGTACTTCTTTCTAATGAATTTGGCTCTACAGGATTTGGGCATTGTTTCAGTAATTATCCCCAAATCCATGATAAATTCTCTCATGGACACCAGACACATCTCTTATTTTGGTTGTGTTGCTCAAGTATTTCTCTTTCTATCCTTTGAAGCCTCTGATGTATCCCTCCTGACAATCATGGCATATGATAGGTATGTAGCCATTTGCCACCCACTGCACTATGAGATGGTGATGAATTGGAAAGCCTGCATTGAAATAATCATTCTAGTGTGGGTTTCAGGTCTTATCTGTGGAATCCTACATACAATTGGCACTTTTTCAGTACTTTTTTGTTCTAATGTTGTCAACCAATTTTTTTGTGAAATTCCACAATTGATAAAACTATCCTGTTCTGGCTTCAATCTAGTTGAGGTTGGAATAGTTGTGGTCAACATCATTGCTGCACTAGGCTGTTTTACTTTTATTTTCATATCTTATGCAGTGATCTTCAAGACAGTATTGAGAATCCCTTCTGAGCAAGGAAGACAAAAAGCTTTATCCACCTGTATTCCCCACTTTATAGTAGTGTCTGTGTTAGTATTAAGTGTATGTTTTGCCTATCTAAGACCTCCCTCTAACATTTCATCTGACATAGATTTTTGGTCAACTATTCTCTATTCTCTTTTTCCACCCCTATTCAATCCAATCATCTATAGCATGAGAAATCAGAATATAAAATGTGTTCTTTCTCAGTTGTGGAGGTTCTGAAAAAAAATCTTTTAATGTTTCTATTCTGTCCACCACAGTTTTGCATTTTCCTGGCCTTTCTTTTACTTTTTTGAATAAAAAAAAAAACATCAAATCAGTTTTCAGATCCTTTAACTCAGACTATGTATTTCTTTCCCTTAGAAGTGCTTTGGCAAGACAAGATACCTGGCATGGCAAAAAAGATATGTGAGCTGATACTGTCTCACATAACCTTTTGATAACTACAACGGAAAAAGCAAGAAATTAAATTAGGATAATGCATAATTTTAATAGAACACCAAATAAGCTTTCAAACATATTAGATCTTGATACAAATTGAAAGAGATAAGGTGTGTTTCCTGATCTAATATCTAGAGAAGGGAAGTGAGATAAATCTACACTAAGGATGATATCTCATTGAAATGTGCTGGAGAAATTATGAGTTTCATCCAAATTACTGATAACGTATGGGAAAAAAATCATCTTACTGTTTTGTGATATCTCCACAACCACCCCCACAATACTTTTAAAAGTATACAAATGGAAGATTCACCATGTAATTTGGGGCTCAGTATAATTGTACTTGGGAAAGTGCTATGTACTTCTTGAAGCTCCTAGGCACTTCCTTTGATGAGGGTATGGGGGTTTCAGTTAAAAGGATAGGAAATTTTGTTCTATATTTATAATCCTCTATTGAATTTTGCAGTCTTGTTTTATTGATCTGTGGATATTTCTTGTCTATATTATTCTTTGTTGTTAAAGTGATTATTTTTCTCTGTTTTATGCAATAAACTTTTCAACGTTTTCTAATCCATGAACCTCTTGTTCGTATCTCATGAGGCAAAAAGGAATGAGCCCTTACTTCTTTAAGAGTCTTTCTAATTGCTGAAAAAGCCTTTGACCAAGTGAACTGGCAGTTTATGTTATGTTTAATTAAGGAGATGAATTTTGGACAAAATATATTACAAGTATTATCTAATATATATCAAAAACAGACTGCTCAACTTATTGTAAATGGGGGTTTGTCAGAGGCTTTTGTAATAGAAAAAGGTACAAGACAGGGATGCCCGTTATCCCCGTTATTGTTTGTTTTAACATTGGAAATATTGTTGATTAAAATTCGGGAGTCTCAAGAAATAAAAGGAATAGAAATTAATAAAAAAGAATATAAATTAAGAGCCTTTGCAGATGACTTGGTTGTTACTTTGTCTCAACCTATTTGTTCGGTGGTAAAATTATTACAATTGATCCAACAATATGGACGTGTTTCTGGTTTTAAAATTAATAATAATAAGACCAAAATATTAGCTAAAATATGACTAATGGTGATAAACAGGTTTTAGTTAAGTTAACAGACTTTGAAATTGTTGATAAGGTAAAATATTTGGGGGTTACATTATCTGCTTCCAATGCAAAACTGTATAAAAATAATTATGAAAAGTTGTGGACGGAGATACAGAAGGATTTAAAAAATTGGAACAATTTACAGTTATCCCTTATGGGTAGAATTGCAGTTATTAAAATGAATGTCCTGCCAAAGTTTATTTTTCTGTTTCAAATGTTACCTATTTTAAAGAGTGATCGTAATTTAGATGAATGGCAAAAAGGTATTAATAAATTTGTTTGGGCAGGGAAAAAACCAAGGGTGAAACTTAAAATAATGCAAGATTTTCGTGAGAGAGGTGGACTCAAGGTACCAAATATGAAATTGTATTATGATGCTGTAGTACTAACATTGATTAGCGATTGGGTGAATTTAACAAATATAGAAATACTTCATTTGGAAGGTTGGGATTTACTTTTTGGATGGCATGCCTATTTAATATTTAATAAAAAAGTGGATTGGGTTTTTAAGTCTCATATTATAAGAATCTCTTTGCTTAGAGTGTGGAGGAAGTATTATAAATTTGATTTTAAAATACCATTATGGGCTATACCTCGGCATGCCATAGAAGGTATAAGGAAAGGGGTTAATATGGATATGGTTTCTTATGCACAGTTACTTAGATGGGATGGCCAAGACTGGCAGTTAAAATCTTTGGAAGAACTAATACATGAAAATCTAACTTATTCATGGTTCCAATATAGACAAATAGTGGACAGATGGAAGATGGATTGTAAAATGGGCTGGCTTAGAGAAGATGAAACTCTTTTAAAACAAGTAAGAGATCAAAGGCCAACCCATATTAAGAGAGTTTATGGGGTTTTAGTGGAATTGGATTCAGAATCTGAATTAGTTAAAGATTGTATGATTAAATGGGCACAGAATATTGGTGAATCGATTTCAATGGATACTTGGGAACTTATTTGGACAAGAAATGTTAAATTCACACAAGCGCAAAATTTAAGAGAGAATTTTTATAAGATGTTTTATAGATGGCACCTTGATCCAAAGAAAATGTCCATTATGTACTCTAATTTACAGCCGAAATGCTGGAGATGTGGACACTTGGATGCTACTTATTATCATATCTGGTGGACGTGTAAGCATATAAAAGCTTTTTGGATTAAGATATGGTGGAATATTCAGAGAATTTTTAGAAGGAGGGTAAAATTTACTCCGCAATTATTTTTATTAGGTATTGTTACTGATTGTGATGCTAGGGAGGTTATATTGATGCTAAATTTGATTACAGCCGCTAGGCTGTTAATAGGACAATATTGGAAGAAGGAATCCTTGCCTATTTTACAAGAGTGGTTTTATAAAGTTTCGTATTTGGCAGAAATGGCAAAGATTTCGGCTTTTTTAAAGGAGCAATCTCAAGAGAAATTTTTTGCGGTATGGGAAAAATGGATAAATTTTATACAACATAATTTAGATATGGAAAAATATTATTTAGCCTTTTTATAACTTGTAATGATTGTTTTTTTTTCTTTCTTTCTTTCTTCTTTTGTATTATTATTTATATACTTTTCTATATATGTTTTATTTTTCGCCTACCTCTTTCTTTTTTCTTTCTCTCTCTCTTTTCTTTTTCCCTTTTTTCTTCTTCCTTTTTTTTACGTATATTATTATTATATATATTATTATTATGATTCTTATTATTATTATTAATTATCTTATAAATTGTATACGTTATTTTTTAAAATTTGTTAAATAATCCTATACTCAGTTCTGGGAAGTCGGGGGGGGGAGGGCGGGGTGGTTTGGGAGGGGGGGGTGGATGTTTATTTGTAAAATTTTAGAAAAAAATTCAATAAAAAAAAAAAAGAGTCTTTCTAATTCCAGTTCCATCTGGAGATGTCCATATGAGCCTTTGGTTTGATGAAAGATGTCAACATTCTATGAAGGATAAAGATAAAGCAGGTATTAGATTTATGCAAATCTGTTAATGAACATTTTTTCTCATGCCTTTACTGGATTGTTTAATTCTTGAAAGACTTAAGCAAACAGATTGTCTGTGATATTTTATTAGCACAGACACTGTCATATATCACACTAAATGATGAGTAGTGGTTTTATTGTTGAATAATCCACAATCTGACTGCAATGTCAAAGCAAACTAAGCCATAATCACAATTATAAAAGATATTAACTAGATCAACAATATCATACTAATACTGAAATCATGAAACAATATGATTTAGGAAGTTGTGTATGTAAGTAATAACTTCCAAATTCACTATTTCTCTCTACAGAAGAGGGGCACTAGGCTATTCTATGCATTATATTTATAGGATTCCTGGTTTTGTGTAGCTTTGTTAATTAGGATGTTGATGGCAGACTATTAAGTTATTAGTTGTTGTTTCCTTCTGTCACCTTGCCCTTGTTTCCTCAGCCAGCCATCAAGACCCTAGTTAACAACTTAAAGGTACCCACTACCAGGAACCATATAAATACAATGCCTACAACAGCCAATGCATGTATTCTAGAGAGAGAGTTCCCTTATGTTTGAAAGCTTGGAAGAATAAACTGGTCCTGGTGATTGACTCAGATTGGATAATGCAACATCATCCTGGGATACATATATTTACCTTCATGAAAAAGCATACATACCAAGCAAGATCTCTTATAACTGGGGTCCCCAACCTGTGGGCCATAGCCCACTGGGGGGCCATGACAGGTTTGAAGAAATGACTGGAGTGCATCCTCACTCGTGAGCAGGGGGTAAAAGTGTGTGCACTCCATTTAAGTAAGTGGCAGGAGCACGTGCACACTGCTCATGCAAATAGAACTGCACATGTGCAGTCACGCTTGCCTGTTGCTCATGGAAAACCATCCCCTCTCCTGCCCCCGCTGGTTCGCAAAGCCAGAAACATTGGGGAACTCTTTCTTATAAGCTATCAGGAGTTCCTTAATGACAACAGCAGAAATAAACTAAGTGTGGCCAATTTTTGTATTACCCCATAGAACCCAGCTGGCAGGATGTCTTCAGGTTTTTCTTTCTAGGGTCATGAGACTACAAGACCTACCTTAACCAGGTGGCACATGAATCTGGGATGAGAATTGAAAGTTGGAGAAATTCACAGATGAGAAAAGCTACACAATTATTGCATGATTTACCCCCTACACACAGACACATAGACACCACACACACACACACACACACACACACACACACACACACACACAGAGAGAGAGAGAGAGAGAGAGAGAGAGAAAGAGAGCTTTATTCAGCATGCAAGAGTAAAAAGCTACCAAAAAGCTAGCTCAGATTAGGCTAGAAAGTTTTATACTTTTTTTAAATATGAAGGATAAATCAAAACATGTCACTAAACGCCTCAAAATACAACGGTCTTCTGCATTGCCACTACACTTCCTGACAATCATAGCATATGATTGGTATGTTGTCATTTGAAACCCAGTATAATTTGAAATATTAATCAGTTGGAAATCCAGTACTGAAATCATGATACCAGTTTGGATCACCAGTCCTTGCCATAGAATGTTGTTTACTAGCAACACTTTCTGAATCTCTTTTTGTTCCAATGATTTTAACAGGTTTGTTGGTTTGTTTATGTGAAAATCCAGTTACTAAAAATATCCTGCTTTAGACTCAGCTGGTTGAAACTGGAGTTGTTTCAGCTGGTATTTCAGGATTAGACTGCTTTATATCATATCTTAGGTGATAAATCTCAAAACACTGAGAAGAATCCTTTCTATGTAAGGAAGGCCAAACGTCTTCTCCTTTGTGTTCCCTAACTTACAGTAATTTACATATTTCTGTAAATTGGTTTGTTTGCATATTTGAGTCCTCTCTCTAGTATCTCAACTTATTCAGATTTAGCATTATCTATCCTAAATTCCAGTATTCCATCACTCTTCAATCCAATATAATATGAGAAATATCAGTTATACCCTATCTAAAATGTGGAGTTTTAAAACATTTTTTTCAGTGAGGCTTTTTCTTTATTCTTTCAAAAATGGGCTTTGTTATCTCTTTGCTCCATTCATCTCAAGAATAGTAAATAGCTGCAAAGAGCATCACAGCTAAGATGCAGGTTTAGCACCTCAGTCCACTCTTTTATAAGCCATGCTTCCTGTAGATCAGTGGTTCTCAACCTTTTTAATGCTGCGACCCCCAACCGGTCATAAGTCGAGGACTACTCAACTGGTTGTAAGTCGAAGACTACTCAACTGGTGCAGCACCTTTTGCAGAATGGGACTTTTGGCGGGCTCAGCAGGGCAGAGACAGCCTGGACAATTCCTATTGGCTTTTGAAAGCCAATAGAATTAGACTCTATTCAAGAGAGTCTATTCTATTGGCTTTCAAAAGCCAATAGAATAAAAGGGAGTAGCACAGCTAAGGAAAAGGGGGAAAAAATGGCGGACTGCGTTGTTTGGCAACCCCCGTGAAATGGTCGTTTGA